GACCATTATGATAGAGTACTCTAGTGATTTCATATATAACAGTAATAACAGAGATTTAGACCATAAAGATTTGATATATCATACAACCATTGGTCGTCATTTATCAAAAGATTTTGTGTACATTGATAGTTAGAATTAAATTGTCCATCTACCATTTATCATTTACCATGAATATGTGAGTTAACATAATAGCACCATCTGTTAATATAAAATATTCTTTGTAGAATTCCAAAGCCACATATAGAATTACCTCAGAAAACATTCTTATCAAAATATTCAATAATTTTTCAGCTATGACCTTTGCAGGATTCAATTATTTAAAATAATTCATCTCTCACATCATTCTAAGACTTTTAACCCTAAAAATGTTGGCAGAAGTAAATAAAATAATGACTTGAATGTCACCAGGACAGTGACTCTACATCAGTACTATCTGAGAAGTGATGATTTCAATTGGTAAGCCAACATAAGGTGTTTTTTTATGGTTTTTTTTTTTGTGTTTTTAATTGGGGGGGGGGGGGAATCTTAAGTTATTGGGCTGACAAGGAAAAACCGCTGGAGAGCCGGACTGACAAGCTGATTCCAGTATACCCCCTTTGGGGGGGGGGGCTTTACAACTTTGGGGGGGGGGGAATAATGGGAGGAATTGAAAACATTAAGGGCATGTACCAGCCAAGTTCCTCTGAAATAAATGATGATTGATGTGAACAAAATTTTCATTCAATTTAACAACAAAAGCCAAACCAATGATCCAAATTTGATTTATTTACACTAAATAAAGATAGAATGACAGCCTATTCATTGCACTTAACTTTGGATAATAACAGCCCATTAGAAATATCAATAAAGCAAGTAATTAGTGATGCTACTCTTGCCAGGAACTTCAGGAGGGACTCCATGTGATGAACATAAAATCTGTCACAGTAATTTCCTGGGATAAGAGATTTAAAGAAATATCACATTGACACAGACTTTTTTGCAATACCAGCTCTAAATAAGATAATAAAATGGGAACTTTCAAGCTTTGCTGCTGTGTCTATGGCGGAATGTCCTCTGGATAATAAAATGCGAAGATACATTGTTTAAACTAATGTAAAGATAGTCAAGGATAGCTTCCCTTACCACACTTAATATTTTAAATGAACTTGTCTGTACAAAACTTTCAATCACTTTTCAGTGAAATGTCAAAATATATTCTGGCTGAATAGTGAAAAGTCCGAGCAATAGATGTGCCTGATGTTCTTGGTCTGCACAAGAGTTAAAGGATTAATCAATTTCCATATTAAGAACATTAAGGGGCAAGTGATTAAGTCAGTGACTTAGACTTATGTATACAGATGAATTACAAAGAAAATGAAAATTAAATCAAAAGTTTAACAATTATCTAACTTTTGAAGAAAAAGAAACATTTAGTCCTCAGAACATGCCATATCTGTGCAAGGTGCAAAGTCTGAATAGAAATACTCTGAAAGTTGGTTAATTTGTGTTTTTTTCCAAAAAAAACATGTATGTGCAGAGTTCAGGATAATACCCATATTGTGATGATGGACAAAAGTATCTATGCATATCCAACATTACATACCACCCTCCTTTAGACCAATGCAAGCATAGATATATCATTTTCATTGTTACAAAATAGCTCAGGACTGCCGTTCTTCTGATACAGCTTTAATGATAAATTTAATAAGCTAAATACATGTATATTATAAATATAAGTGCAATTACTTTCAAATACAGGGATTATGTTTACTATAGATGGATAATGACAGGGGATTAGAGTCATTATAGTGTATTACAGGTGTAGATTTAAGATGTAGATAAATGACAGATTAGATCAATGAACTTATATAATAATGTAGTTATTACCACTTTTTTATATACATTTATATACATGTATGGTATATACATGGTGGTTCTGATCTTAATGAAGTTAAGTGTTGAAGAAATTCTTTTTTGCAGAAACACTACCAATTAAGACCTTAAAGTTTTAAGGACAACAGCAAAATATTAACAGCCAAGGCGATGTTAAGAGGAGAATGGTTCTTTAAAACATACCAAAATTATTGACTTTAACACTTACTATAAGCCTGAATATTTAGACTCTTTTTTATATTGATTTATTTAAATGCTAGTTAATAAAGAAGGTACCGTTAAGCTAGGTTATTTAAACCTATTAATTACAAAAACAATAGCCACTTTTTACAGCAACTTTATACTTAATGATCAAACTAATGAAGTTCCTATTTCTGGTGCCATCATGTTAACAGACACAGAAGGGAATCAAATTGTGACTGAAGATATTATCAACAAATCAATAATCTTTGATACAGATAGAAAACGAAATCCTCCATACTTTTAATCAAGACCTGAATATTTTCCCACAATCGATGAGAAGAAAAGCTAAATTTTGTCACATATACAGATCCCCAAATCTGAAAACATTTTCTACATCCAAAGTCAATTTGTCTCAGACAAGCTACAACTTTTCTATTATCTTATATCAAATTATAGCTTATCACAAGGCGCTTCTGCTAAAATTATCACATTGTTTTATATCTGGTTTTTTTTACAATATATTCCTAAATGTATCAATCACAATTGAAAAGCTCGTAGACTGCAAAAAAATCCAAAAAACACAAAATTTGCTTTGCTTTTTAAATTCCACCTTTATCAGCAGTCACATACTCTATAAAGTAGAACCTTTTCAACTATTGTTTTCAGTGTTTGAATAACTTCATGCATATACAAACAGAATTCTGTTAAATTATTCAACATTTCAAGTTTTTTTCACCTGATCTGGCTGCAATAATCAATATTTAAACAATTTAACTTTGATAATTATTAATCAATATTTAATAATAAAACACTTCTGTTCCACACAGGATATTTCCTCTATTGAATGAATGTGGGAAAATAAAACAACCTCACTATCATCTTATTATGTTGACTTTAAATTATATAAGTAGTCTTACTGACACACTAAACTGATGTATGGAAAATAATTTTTCTGATAATTGTCCAAATAAAATTCCAATATTATCCACAAACAAATAAATCTGCACAATTAAAATGATCTAAACATATTAACCAGGTGTAATATACATCCAGATTACAAATCTTTTCACAAACAGTTTATTCCACACTGCTCTAATCTGCTAGCCGCCACATTTGATACCACACTATACAATCTAATTTTTCTACATGCTGGTTTTTAAAAAAAACAGGCAGCTACTAATAATCTATGGCTATTACAAATGAACTCTTAAAACACTATACACCCAATGAAACGAACTGAAAAGATATAGATAAAACATATATCACTACATAAAAGAAATAAGGTTTTGTTCAATATCATCAATATATTGACTTTAGTCCAAGCGCCAACGAATATTTCTTGATTAGATTCTATATAGAGACAGGTAAAATCATAAAAGTCAATCCCCGTAAAAAATCAAGTTTCAGATGAATATTGCTGTACATATATAGTGTCTTGTTTTATATCCGATTGATGGATACTTAAATAAAGAATATAATGCATGAACATAAAAATAGATAAAGAGTTGGTTCACATGAATAGAAGTTTGCAGAGTATAATTGCAACTGCTGATGTGTATTATTACAAAATGTAATAAACAATCAACAAACATTTATAATGTCTCATATAGAAAACTCTTTGTATAATTGAAATTCAAATTCACAGTTTATTGATATTTCAAGAGGCATTATAAACATATATATTTTATTACAAGCAATTAAAGCTATCATCATATGCCAGTGTCATACATATATTAAAATATTTCAAACTGCCTCAAAACCAAGATGTAACATAGAAAATATTAAAACATAATAAATATTTCTTGTGCAGTGTTGAAATTAAGAACAAGAGAGCCACGATGGTCATTTATCGTTCACCTTAGGTTTGTTGCTAGAAAAGGACACAATTCTTAAGTGCAAGTCATTATTGCTCATCTTAGGTTTGTTGCTGGTTAAGTGGAAGTCATTAATTAGATGACATTAAAGTAGGAATGGGGCATCAAAATCAAAACAGCCCTTGCTGAATGATGATTAGATAGAAATGCTCTGAAGAAATGAATCTAGCAACCTTTGTAGATGAAGATTGAAATAAAGCCCTTGTAATACTTGACATTGGAATGGCTGCATGTGTGCCAAGTTTTATTAAAATCTCTCAATGCATGTCAAACTAATGCTCCAGATATTTAGTGTTTTCCGATCTCTCATAGTGACCTTGAACTAGAGCCCTGATACGTGTGACCTGATGAACATTTTTAACAAGTAAAACTAAAATACATCCATGCAATTAGAACATATGCTCCGAGCAGTCATCATAACCTTGACCTTGCATATATTGACCTTGATTATGCTGGTAACTAAATTTTAGTCTCATGATTGTGAACATTAGTGAAATAATATTTTAATTCAAGATAACTAAATTGTCCTTCAACACTTTTATCAGATTGTTGATCTTTTTGTGTGACCTTGACCTTGGCCACAGGGACTTTTTAAATTTTGAACAGAACATTCTACTTCACAATGGGGAATATTTGTGTCAAGATTATATTACAATCTAAATGCATGTAGAAGTAATGCTCAGGACAAAATTTTCCTCTGACCTTTAAGTGTGACCATGACCTTTGACATGATCTCATTCCTGTACCATATCTGATGGTAGTTATTATAATGATATGCACAACTAGACTTGGTACTGATCATTCCTGTAATGTTTGGATTAAACTGTAGCAGGCACCACAAAAATTACATGCATATTAATAATATCTGTATCTTTATAACATTTGTCAATGTGTCAGGCAAGTACAATTAACAATGTAATTATGACTGTTATAGTAACACCAAAATCAAAGCTGTGATGCACGCATACGAATGTATTGAGTAAACACAATCCCAAAATCATTTTAAAAATCAGGCAACAGAAAAAAAATTTAAGGAAAAGATGACAGAAACTATTGGTAAATACACCAAGAATGCAAGTGAATACACCAAGAATGCAGGTAAATTTAATAATACCCAAGTGATTTTCACAGAAACACTTTTTAATGCAGTTTCCTGTTTCACTGCAGAAACTGTTATAGATATTTTAGTTTGCAATCCTTATTGTTTTGTTTTTTATCATAACCTAATAAAATTTTATATAATCTTTTTTAAATAAATTATATACATGATTTGCAAACAAATTTGTTATTTGATATTATTTTCATTGATTGAAATAAAACAAAACATTACTGTTGTATGTTTTGGTATGTAGGTGGGGTAATATGTTGAATATTTACCTGTCAACAATCCGATCATGTGATAAGGGTTATAAATCAGAACCAAGTTTATATCACCGTTTGACACCTTGGACCCAAACTTGAGCCTTATAACCGGGTGTCACTGTACATTACAAGAATATGCAATTATATAAGTTTTGCAGGCATACTTACGAATAAGTACATAAAATCAAATAGCGTTAGTTGCTTTGAGTATGGTTTGAGTATTAAAGGAGTTTGAAAATCTCTGAACATCTCTAATTGAGACTGTATTAAGAGACTCCCTGCCATATGTGACTTCTTTCTTAAAGTCACTTTGACAGTCACAATTATGATGGGTTGACTTTACATAAAATAAATGAAATATTTAGTTGTTCACTCAAATTTGACAGGAATAATTTTAAATCTTGTATGAAATAAATTATTACCATTATTAAACAAAACACAGAAAATATCATTTTTATAGTCTCACTATGCATATAAGTAAAGCCTTCTCGATTCCATTGAACTCAAATATTAAACCAAATTTTGGTGTTTACTTTGATAGAATATTTAATTTTGTTTTATCTTTTTTGCTGTAGAATTGAACAGTTAAAATAATGCTCCTTATAAAAATCTGATTAAAAATCATCCAACATAGATGTCAGTCTCAAGGGAAGTAAATGCTACATTACCACAACAACAGTTCAGTAAGAGTTGTCTATCATGAATATAAGCACCATTCATTATTTTCTCAAAATTGCTGAAAATCTTCATTTCTTACAGTAATGATGTTTTTATCATGTTATTGTATATTTAGCTTCTTCAACTTCTCATTATGTAATAGTTTACATAGTATTTCAATAAAAGTCCATACATTGTATACACACACCAATGACATAGCAAAGTGATCAGGGCACATGTTATATCAAACACTTCACACTGCAAACACAAATATGTGAACAAAAATAAAATAACTAACACTGTGTTTCTTTGTGTTATTTTTTATACCTTTTTGTACATTAAGCATTTAATAATTTAATGAAAGAAAATATTGAGTACAAAACAGCATATGGAAAGGAAGAAATATGTTTTTCCAATAACAAAAGTTGCAGAAATCAAAATATTTTTATTTTGTTCCTAGCAAAACATGACAATACATGTCTAAACAAATTTAATATTATGTTTATACCTGCCACCGCAGCATTTATATTTTTGTCAATTATTTCATTTCAGGTACAAGAGTTATCTCATTTTTGTAAATATGTCTTTTCCTGCTACTTTCCTTTTCAACATACAACATTGTTGTCGATAATAATATTAGTAACAGGAATATAATTATATTTTTAGGAAGTCACAACATCTTCTTTTGATATATCATCACTATTCTTCACGCATTTGTTTTTATATACAAGTGTATTTTTATTTTGTTGAGCATACTGTGAGGCATGAATTTTGAAACTGATGTGTATTTTGGATTTTTCTATGCATATTTTACGCTGATGATACGCATGCTATCTGGAGCTCTGAAATAATGTAGGTTTTCAGCATTAGCATATCTGAAGGTGAACATAACATCATTTTTCTACAATAATGTACATATAATTTTTATTTCCACATAAAGTGTATATAAATTATACCGCTAATAGTGTTTATAATTATCATTGTCAAATGTGTACACAATTCCCACAACTATCTGGGCTTTAATCAAAACCTCTCAATAATTGCAATTGTTTCTTACTGTAAGTGAACAATCAAATTATAGACATATCAATGGATCCATTAATCTTCATTTAGACAGCGCATCTCATTTTATACAGCACTTTAACATAGAGTAATATCCCTTGCTTTTTGACAGAATCAGCTGATATAAAGTAACTATAATGAAATTTGTTCATGAACTTCTATCATTGCTTATTTTCTGGACAACATTTATTGAAATCAATCAATTCAGTACAGATAAATCATGTGGAATCTAAGTGCCAGTGTATCTTTGGGGGAAAATGTGGGATCAGTGGTCCAGTGACAACCATTCCAGTGATGGGAAAATAGATCCTCCACAATAAACTCTAAACAATTAATTACCAGCTAATGCAAATAAGACTTTAGAAACCAAGGTCCTGAGTCATGGTGCTTCACAACTAGTGCCTGCTGGTGACCCATGCAACCAGGGAGTGCAGACCAAGATCTGCCGGGATGTATTTGACATCTGATCATAGCCTGCACTGATAAATTTTGAAATTGTCCCTGGAAATGATGAATGGTTTTGTCCAGATAAAGACGGTCCATTTAAGTATTTAGCATGGAAAGTATGTTGCCTGAAATGCAGTATTTTCTGTATCTGAAGATTAACTGTGGCACTTAATAACCTTACAAAGTAAGTCACATTTGTATTGGTTTGCTGCCACAAACATAAATAAACATAATTCATCACCTTAGTGCAATAACTGATTAACTGTTATTAAATTAAGGAGATGGTATATAAACAAGAGGGCCATGATGGCCCTGAAGTCGCTCACCTGTATATAGGCCCCCGGAGCGGGGCCAGTTTAAACCCCAGGGCTTTTATTTGAACAAACTTGGTAGACACCCATTAGAAGATGTTTCATGCTAAACATCTAAGGTCTAGCTCGTTGGGTCTTTTAAAAGAAGATTTTTTTAAGTTTTTCCTTTACACATATAGTAAAAAAACAATGACACACCTAGGGCAGGGCCAGTTTTGACCCCAGGGCTTTTATTTGAACAATCTTTGTAGACACTTACTAGAAAATGTTTCATGCTTAATATCTAAACTCTAGCTATTCGGGTTTTTTCAAAGAAGATTTTTTAAGTTTTTGCTATACACATATAAGGAAAATGAATGACCACCGGGGCCGGGCAAATTTTGACCCCAGGGCTTTTATTTGAACAAACTTTGTAGACACTCACTAGAAGATGTTTCATGCTAAATATCGTAGCTCTAGCTCTTTGGGTTCTTTAAAAGAAGATTTTTTAAGTTTTCACTATATGCATATAGGGAAAATCAATGACCCCCTGGGGCGGGGCCAATTTTGACCTAAGGGCTTTTATTTGAACAAACTTGGTAGACACTCACTAGAAGATGTTTCATGCCAAAAATCTAAGCTCTAGCTCTGGGTTTTTTAGAAGAAGATATTTAAAGTTTTTTCATTTGGTTGCCATGGCAACCAGAGTTCTGCATGGAATTAAATTCTTTGAACTATTTTCAAAGGTGACCACCAAAGGAACATTCCTGTGAAGTTTGGATGAAATTGGCTTAGTGGTTTATGAGGAGATGTCATTTAAAGTAAAAGTTTACGGACGACGGACGGACAACGGACGGACGACGGACGAAAAGCAGTCACAAAAGCTCACCCTGTCACTTTGTGACAGGTGAGCTAAAAACACACTCACACCTGAGCTTTTTATGTTAAAATAACAATTAATTGTTATAAGAAAAAGTCTATTTTAATATTTCATGAAATAAATCATTGAAAATGTGTGCATGAAACAATTATTTCTCTAAGAATATTTCTAGCAGACATTAGAAATATGTTATATGAACAACAAGCATTTGATAGTATTGCGGGCAATACAGTAACCCCCTACCGGTCCCTCAAAAAGTTCTTTAATTGTCATACACTCCTGTGTATTGCCATTTATAATGAATTTGAGGATGAAGTCTGTATTTGAAAATATCGACCACAAAACATAATAAAATAAGTTTGTCTATATCACAGTAATGTGTTAAGTTTCCATGCTTAGTAAGGAAATTATGTTTATACAACCTTGTCATATTATTACGATGTGGGATTTTAAAGTAAATCCTATAAGGAATGAAGAAGTTGGAGTGAAAATACTAGTTTCTCGAAAAAAATCTAAGTTCAAGGGGGACATAATTCTGGAAATAGTCTTGCTAGAGTATTTAACCTTCTCAAACATGTCGAGTGATAATAAGAAACATATATATGAAGTTTGAAGTAGATACATTAGGAAATAAAGAAGTTATTTAAAAAACATTTTTTCCCCTAAAAAATCTAAGTTCAAGGGAGGTAATACTGATATTTTTTGTGCTAGAGTTATAAACCTTGTCACATATGATGTGGTTGATGACCAGAAACTTATATTTAAAGTTTGAAGTAAACACCTTAAAGCTACAGTCTCACTTACATCCCGGCAGAGCCCCGGCAGAGCCACGGTAGACGTCCGGGGTGATCCGGGAACGACCGGGGTACGACCGGGAACAACCGGGGTACATCCGTAACTCTGCCGGCAACGTCCTGGATGATCCGGGATGATCCGGGAACATCCGGCATTCGACCCCGGATGGAATAAAATATTTAATATCACCGGGGTGGTCCGGGATGATCCGGGAAGGTATAGCTTTGCCGGCTTCATCCTTAGCTCTGCCGGGAACGACCGGGGTTATACCGGGAAAGCATTGTAGCTCTGCCGGCACAAACCGGGGATGATCCTGGGTATGATATAGCCGGTAGAGCTACGGTAGAGCTACGGTAGAGCCCCGGTATATGCCGGCAGAGCCCCGGTAACTACAGGCAGAGCCCCGGAGGATAAAGGTAGAGCTACGGTTGATCCCGGTAGAGCCCCGGTAGAGCCCCGGCAAAGCCCGGATCATTTAAAAAGAATAAGGACAATTTGCGATGATTGAACTTGTTTGTATTAAAAGCCTTCTATCCAGTATGGCATAAGGATTTTTCAGAAAATCATCATGAATTACTATTCTGGAACAATAGATATTGTATTAAATAAAAATTATGTATCAAAGTTATCATTTTCGGGCATTTTCAATCCACCGGGGTTCTACCGGGGCTCTGCCTGGATGGTCCTGGGCTCTGCCGGGGCTCTGCCTGGATCGACCGGGGCTCTGCCTGGGTCAACCGGGGCTCTTCCGGCGTCATCCGGGAACGACCGGGGAAGCACCGGCATGAACCGTAACTTCACCTGGGCTCTGCCTGGATGATCCGGAGCGCATCCTGGGTGGTTAGTAGGGAACTACCGTAGTGCTGCCGGGGTAAGTGTGACTGCAACAATAATTTCATCCCGGATCGTCCCGGATCATCCCGGTAACTTACCGGGATGATCCTGGGCTCTGCCGGGAGTATGTGAGACCGAGGCTTAAGAAATAAAGAACATATAGTGAAAAAGCTGAAAAATTTAAATCAGAAATCTTGAAATTCAGGCTATTTGTTGCCATAGCAACCAGAATTTTCAACATAGGAAGAAAAGAAAAAGATGTGCATAATCTCCAGACTGCCATCTACCCACATTTCAAGTTTCATAAAAATATTTTCAGTACTTTTTGAGTTATCACTGGATCCAGTTTATGTGTTAAATTTGCCATATTTTCAGACTATTTGTTGCCATAGCAACCAGAATTTTCAACATAGGAAGAAAAAAAAAAGACGTGCATAATCTCCATACTGCCATCTATCCATATATCAAGTTTCATAAAAATATTTTCAGTACTTTTTGCGTTATCGCGGGATCCAGTTTTGTGGACGGACGGACTGACGGACTGACAGACAGACAGACGGACAGACAGACAGACAGACGGACGGAGGGTAAACCTAAAGTCCCCTCCGGTTAAACCGGTAGGGGACTAATAAAAAAATGTATTACTAACAAAAAACATATTTCCATTTTCATGCTTGTTATTTTGGGAAAAATAAAAATCTGATACCTCATCTTGATATATGGTTTCAATTTCGCTTAATTGAATATTCAATAAATATCCTCCTTTAACATAATCAAGTTCATAGCATTTGATATTCACCTTGTCATCATACAATAAATGTATAATAATATTTCAAAAGTTTTCACAGCTTAATAGATTTAATACAGCAAGTAAATATTATAAATGAAAATCTAGCACCATTTTGTTGGTTTAAATTTGTTCAGATAATTTGAAATACTTCCCTAAAGCTAATTATGAATGATATAATTCTGACATGTTTATGATCTAAGACACCCAGTTTTATTTGTTTTTTTTCCCCTAAGTATAAATACATAAATCAAGTTTTTACAGTGCTTTAAAGGGATGAAAAGAAATTAAGAAGCACAAACACTTTAATAATGACCTCTGTATCTATTTGATAAGAAATACATCTTGAGCCAAGTTACATGACTTTAGAAAACTGTTGGAAGTGTAAAGAGTTTTTCCCCCTGCATTACTCTGACAGATGTGGCCTCTTAAACGTGATGTCATTTAACACCAACACATTTCAAAGAAAGAAAAAAGAGAACAAAAAAACATGAAAACATTAACCTTAAAAAATTTTCAGTGATTACAGTGCCTCTAGTCATGTGATAAACCAAACTTTCAATATTTGTCATATGATATAAAATCTTATTAAATCTGTCAAGAGAAAATTTTACAAATTCACCAGATGAGGCTCACTTTAAAATGCATTTCATGAACTTTTATATTATATTATATGTCAACTCATGTAAGATCCTTTATACCTTTTTAAATCTTCCATTGCTCTTGCCTATACTACTGCTCAATTTGGTATTTTGATTAATAATTCCCTATAGCTTAATGACAGACACAACAGTTCCAAGTTTAAAACAAGTTAAATCCATTACTAAATTTCTGCAGGGTATTAATTTTAGTGTTAATGAAAGTTTCACTTACATTATTCATGTCTTATCTAATGGCTCCTTACTTTTCAATTTGTGATTTTCCCCTCTAACCTAGAAGTGCAAGATGACAATAATCAAGCAAAAGACTTGCAAGTTAAAAGGAAAGCAACCCTTGCAAATATACAGAGGTATTTTAACCTGGGTGATAATTAATTCATTAAAATTGCCAAGAACAAATTTATATATTTTCTGAACATGCAGGAAAATTCCAAGGATAATCATTATTGAAAGTAAAGATGAAAATAAATATATCAGAGTGCCTAACTTTGCTGTTTCATAATGAAACTTGTGAAAATCTTCAACATCTCCATTAAAATACTGCATGACTGTGTACTTAACTTCATATAGATGTCTTTTCGTGCCCTTTTTGAAGCCTCAAATAGTGAAAAAATGCCCTATTTAGATCCCAAACATTTGTTCTTGTTTGAGAAATGGTGTTAAATTAGTGATCACTTTTTTGGGGCATGATCCCCTATCAAATAGATAAATCAAGGGAGTACTAGAGGGGGTTTGAAGGGGGGCAGATGGACAAGAGGAATTGACAGATATATAAAAGCTATATGACTGTAGCCTGACAGATACATATTGAAAATGGATTGGAATGGATTCACTTTTCTTAATGTTATTTGCTAATAAATAAGTAGATGGACAAAAGTACTTTGACAAAAAATGCAAACACTTTTATAACATTAAGATTTCACCATGGCTTTAAAATGTTAATTGTTTTTATTCATTATTATTTCTTCACATCACAAATTAATGAGAAAAAAAGAAGCTAAAATAGAGACAATACTTCAAATTTGTAGCCAGCTAAAGTTCAGCAAGAATAGGTAATTAGGAAGAATCATTAACTGTAATAAAAGTCAGAGTGATGGAGTTGATTCATAAAAACTACAATAATATCAAAATCGATTAAACACCATCATTATCCTACAGAAAAAACACTTGATTTATACATCAAGGAATATATCATAAAACTTATTTACATAAATCACATCTTTAGAACACTGTGTGTTTTAAGATCTAAGAACTGACTTTTTAATGTGATGATATAATTATCACCAAAAACATTTTATTTAAAAAAAAGATCGAAGGAATTTTCTGAGACTAATGACTGCATGAGAACTGGTCTCAAAGATTCTCACTATTTTTACAGCTTAGTATAGATGATTAAAAACATTTACATGAAACTTACAATAATAAATAAGTTTCTCACAATATTCAGTACTTTAATATTGCCAATTTGAATTCTATATATCAACAATATATTTATGTGTGGGTTAGTATATTAAAAGTGCACTGAAAATATATAGAGCAGTAAAAGAACCTCACATTTAGAACATCTACATGTACACATGAAGACTTTCCACAGCAAGTGTAGGAGACAATTTCCTTAGAGAATTTAAAATGCACTGAAACAAGAAAAGTTTTCTTGCATTATCTTCTGTAAATGACATCACTAAGCCTCAAGTCATTAAAGTTAATCACTGATTCTAAGAGGTTACTATTTGAAACTTTGCTATCTGGAACAATGCAAGTACATGTCATCAACTTGGATTGGTTCTGAGTAAAATTCTAACATTCTGTTAAGATTAAATAGCCATTTTTAGTTTGGAAGAAGACCAACTAGTGCACCTACAAACCAGAAATTTCCAACCATACAGGGTAATTACCAGAAATATCCAACCATACAGGGTAATTACCAGAAATATCCAACCATACAGGGTAATTACCAGAAATATCCAACCGTACAGGTTAATTACCAGAAATTTCCAACCATACAGGGTAATTACCAGAAATATCCAACCGTACAGGGTAATTACCAGAAATATCCAACCATACAGGGTAATTACCAGAAATATCCAACCATACAGGGTAATTACCAGAAATATCCAACCGTACAGGGTAATTACCAGAAATATCCAACCATACAGGGTAATTACCAGAAATTTCCAACCATACAGTGTAATTACCAGAAATATCCAACCATACAGGGTAATTACCAGAAATTTCCAACCATACAGGGTAATTACCAGAAATTTCCAACCATACAGGGTAATTACCAGAAATATCCAACCATACAGGGTAATTACCAGAAATTTCCAACCATACAGGGTAATTACCAGAAATTTCCAACCGTACAGGGTAACATGCACCCACTGCAGTGACGTTTCATCACCACTATATTTCAGCTGTCTTATTCTAGCATCCAACGAAATCTTATAGCACAGCACTAGAATGGTAACATATCCATTAAAGGATAACTGGACTGCAGCAGTTATCATTCAAGAAGCAACTGATATTTAAATAATGGTACTTAAATGACATACTTTCACACTCATCATATATTTCTATAATACAATCATTCTACCTGTTAAAGTTATCAGGGGTTTTTCCACAGTCCTGTCCAACTTATCCAAACAAAGAGTTGCTAACACTATTTTTCAGATTGATGACTGTTTATTATTAAAATATTAAGCCAAATCTCTATCAAATGTCTTCTAATAAAGTAAAAGAATGCTGATAATGCTAAAACAAACACAAATTTGGGCAAAGCAGCATCAACAATATTATAATTAATTGTGTTTAATTTTGACCTTCACTTTCTCCAATTTAAAGACCGGCCTTTAATATGGCACCAGTAATTAGAGCCAGACAGAATGGAAGTAACATCTTCAACCAGACAGTATAATGCTGACTGCTTAAATTTAGAAATCTCTCATATATACAATATATTATTTAAAATCTAAAGCAGGACATGTTTTTATAATGAATAAATAAATTGAACTCTTACAGGACACTGCCCTCACAATTTCTATTGACTTGCCTTATATTATAGGAAAAGTCGCAGACTTTAAATCCATTAAAACCCCTGTTAAAAAAATTCTGCATATCTGAAATTGAAATTCAGCTATTCTAAAAATCTGGTAATCAATTTCTTAACCACATACAAATCCTTTGAGATGAAAGCTTTATTTTCTCCATATTTACCATGGTTGATAACTTGTGAGTTTATTTATCATAATATAAGTTGGCTTGCTGGAAACGATTCATTCATAATTCCCCCATCATTGTTATTCATAGAATCAGCTATACAGGCATGTTCTCCATCTTTTCAATTTCTTTTACAGCTTTTTTTTCTCATTAATTTAGAGAGGACAAGCTTTAATTTCATTGTTTTCTACACGCAAGCTCACTTCTTTCTTTTTTTTTTTCTCTCTCGAATTCAAATGTTATTATACCATCATAAAACAAAAATATTCCACTTAATATTAGTCACCAACTCAACATAATGGAAAAGAAAAGGTAAACTTGAAATAATTGACTTGGTCTGCAGGATTCAGATAAATCTATAGGTGTGTATTACAATACATTATGTTGGATAATATCATATGACTATAGTTGAAAAATACTTTTAACTTTCTATTTTCAACACCATTTGGGGTTAAATTAAATTACCTGAAAATACTTTCAGAAGGCCAACAAATGCTCTTATAAACAAATTAAAGAGTATAACTAACACTAATGATATACTAATGATTGGTCAATATGGACAAAATATAGACCAATTTCAGAGAATATTGTAAGAAAGCAAATGTTTCAGTAAGCCAATTTCCAGTAGATTTGTGTCACATCAGATGGTATTTTCCTCCGAGATACTGCTACTTTAGTAATTACCATAATTCCACCCCAACATACATGCTCAATAAGGTAAATAATCCCCAAGATACTGATGTTGTTTAGTACAAAACACTGGTCAATGACCCCTGTGTCTCACATAATTGTACATGTCCATTCTGGCAATAAACTTTCGTTTTATTTAGAGTTTTACTTTTCAGGTTTTTTACATTTGATTTACTCAATTACAGACTTGCATGAAAATCTTTATCTTACTTAAAATCGTAATTATAGTATATTGTTTGCCCTTTATCTGCTGGAATCAGAAGAGAATATTTAACCATTGCTACGCCTAATATAGCCTTGCCAACCTGCAAGTCTGTGCAGTCAGACCAGCTCTATATTGTTGCCATTGATTAACTTAAAAAAATTTTCATTATACACTTGCATAACAGTAGACTGTTTCAAAAATGGATTCTGAACAAGTTCAGTAAAAATATTCTGGAGGTTAAACACTTAAATTTCATACCACTGCAATATAAATTTAGAATGATATTTTAGCAAGATCCCATACACATTTGGAAATTGTTTAGTTTGCACTAATAAAATTTTAAAAATTGTTCTAATAAGTTTGTACTTCAGACCTTCTGTTTCTCGTTGGTATAAACCTAAAAATGTTAAAATCAGCAATCTTTCCAGCATGATTCCTAATTACAATTCTCCCAGTATTTGAGGAAGTGTCATTTAAATTACTGAAAAAGTTTAAATCAATTTCAACCCCACTCCCCTACAACAATTAACACCTGATCTAGCTATATTATATAATTGCTCCAATTTGTCTTTAACATCTTAAACAATATAACAAGGCAATAAAAAATATTCTACTATCAAATTCAAGTTTCTAATTAAATAAAAGCTTTTTTGTTACATGTATTGACAAGAACTTTAGAAAACAACCATCTAAATGGTACTTTATTTCTTCCTTGAAACATTTTGTTAAAACATTGTGTTTTACTTGAATCAATAGCCATTAATGTGAAAAGGTCAAAGATTTTGTTTACTAATTCTCTTTAAGGTCTTTAGTACTTGACAGGAAGTTGTGATTGAAGTATCCCTGAACTAAAATTTCCTTGGATTTGTTAAGTTACTAGCAATATGTACAAAACTGTATTTATGTATAACAAGAGGACATCCAATTAAACAGTTGTATAATAAGGGATGATTGACCTGAGTTTGTTCCCTGTATATCACAGCTACTATGTAGCATGTTGCAAAAATAATTAACAGGCCAAAATGCTATAACTCTTAATTATGCACAATAACTTGAGGTATCCATCAACTGTAGTTTCACTCAAATGGCATTAGTAGTATAACAGAAGCTGTGAGTAATGGACATTTAACTTAAAAGAAAACAAAAACAAGAAGCGCAGCAAGTTTTAATGTGACAGCAAGTGCACTGAAGTTATTGAGTAGAAGCTGAAAATTATATTGTAAGCAAATGACATTGAACTTGCTCCCAGATATCTAAGTGGCAATCAGCAAGTTTGGTGTCAAAAGGTCAAAGCAAACTCAAGTTATAACATGAAAACTAATTAACATTAACCTTGATCACAGACACCTGGGTAGCAATCCCATATAAGCTACCCATTCATCAAGTTTGGTGTCAATAGGCCAAAGCAAACTCAAGTTATTGAGCAAAAACTGAATTTCAATTTTTAGTAACAGTGACCTTGACCTTGATCACAGACACCTGGGTAGCAATCCCAAGCTGCCTCTTGATATAAGCTACCTACACACCAAGTTTGGTGTCAATAGGTCAAAGCAAACTAAAGTTATTGAGCGGAAACAAAAAGTTGACTGGAAATTTTTCTTGGAAAACATTGAGCTAAAAATAACAACTGTACTAATGTGTGATGAATACATCAATACAGTGACATGTTAAAGATAATCAAGCTTTCATCACATAATATAACACCAACCTACAAACAAACAACAAGAGATAGCTTTCTCTTTAACTTTCTCATTCTGTAAACAATCCCTTGTAAAATTTCCATCAAATATGCCAATATTTCTTTTTTAAGCAATTCCAATGATACATTGACATGCGTCTACAGTATCTCATTTTAGTTACAATGTAAAGCTAGGAAATCCAACAAAAGTGAATGTGACCAATGAAATTAGTGTCCATTATTAGAGAATGATATCTAGGGTCTATCTGATATATCAGTTATTACTTTGTTCTCCTGCTGCTGTCTATGGATAATGCTTAAAAATAAGGAATAATTTTTCAGGCAACATCGTAGTCAAAAATATTAAAATATTTACGTTTGGTAGACAATCTATATCAAAATGAATAAATAAATTTATAGGAAGAAATGTAAAGACCTTGAATAACTTAAATCAGTAATTTTTAAGATCTTGAGGTTGGAAATATTAGGTAAACTGCATTGATATATTAAATTTGCTACAAGGAAAAAATTGTAACCGTGATAAATGAACATAATTAATATCATTATATCAATTTAGCTTCATATTAAAATCATTATATCAATTTATTTTCATCACTGAATTAATGAAGAAAGATTCCAGATTGAATTTGGTAATTTTAATTTCTCATCTCCCGTATTTTACACATGACTTAACTCTGTGAATTTAAATATTTCATGTGCTAGCTACAGACCAGACCTGATGATGATTCAATGGCTTGGATGTGCAAGCTGACATTCCAGGCTTACCCTGGCTGTATGGGCTAACAAACTGCCAGCAGGCTATTTGGGTTATCTACCATATCAACCATCATAACTGTCTGACTAGGACATGAAACATTTAGTTCTTATTCAAAGAAACCTTTACTATGAATCAAAGTATAAGTGCTGCTGTCAAATCATTTGTTCAATGAAGATAATCTCAAATGACATTTTTAAATTTATAGACAAAATCTGTAAGTCAACAATCTAAAAGCCTAAAATCACCACTAAATAAAATCATAAAAACTTTCCTTAATTATTAACATAACATATTCATTACTTTAAATATGTATATACAATCATTTAACAAATCAGTTACTGTAAAAACTCTGTAAAGTATTAAATAAAAGCTAAAAGATTCAATGAAGAATGGCAACAAAACAATGCACATGTCCAAGCAATGACCAGAAAGTAGTCTCAAATTTACAGTAACCTTCTCCACACAGAAACATTTGGTAAATTTAAATTATCACAGGCATCCATTATAAAGGTAAAATTATAAAACTATTTACAAACAAGAGCCATGTCAACATGGCCATCCCCTGCCAAATGTGTTTGCTCATTGGAAGAATGTATATGTAGTAGAGCAGAATAATTCCATTTTAAGAGGTCTTTTGGTGGCTGAAGTGATTACAGATTTGAAACCTATGTGAATACTGATGGCTGAAAATAAATAAGGGCAATAACTGAAAAATAATGCAGGGTAGGTTATCATTCTTGTCTGCTGCACCCCTCCTCAGTAAAATCTATCCACCTATGAAGTTTCAAGTTGATACCTCAAATACTTTTTGAGATAAGCTCCAGACAAAATAGTATGAAAAAGAACAAAGGGCAATAACTCAAAAATTATATAGGGAAGAGTATTCCTCCTGAATAAGATCTATCCACCTATGACATTTCATGTTGACATCTCAAACACTTTTGAGTTATGCTCCACTCAGGTGAAAAATTAAGTATGAAAAATAACAAAGGGCAATAACTCAAAAATTATAAAAGGTAGAGTTATCATTCTTGTGCACTGCAAACCTCCTGAGTTAGATCTATTCACCTATGAAGTTTCATGTTGATATCTCAAAGGCTTTTTGAGT